AGCATCGATAATAAGTGTTTGGTTTAAAGTAGTCCCAGTGGTTTGAATGGTGTTTCCATTTCTTCGCCAAACGATTTTCGCGTTTGCCTCAGTTGATGCGAAACATGACGCTGTTAACTTGCTATCGAGTGTCACTCGTGTTTGGTTTGAATAACTCATCTCAAATGATAACGGAGCTACGAAGAAAATATGCAGATAATAAGTATTAATTGAGGGAAAAAAAACAAGAAAAAAACCCGTATTTTTGAACGAAACTGTACCAAAATTGTCAAGATGACCGTATCACGAAAAAACCTCACTAAACATTCACTCCATGTAAGAGAATTCAGAGAACTAGAGGATTCCGGATTCCACGCTTTGAGATTCCGGATTCCAAAGAATGTGTTTTTTGGAATTCAAAATGTTTACTTGATGCCGGATTCTGGATTCTCTTACATGTGGCGAAAATGTTGTGTCGTGTACTATAATGAGAATTTGTGCCTACTTTAAATGGCGACCACAGGGAACCCAGTTAGGTATACTCACCACATTTGACTCGGGACTTTTTAATGGCGTTACCAGGGCAACATGGTGGAGGAATAGCCCCACAACAAGATTGATGCTCTTTTATCTCTATGATGTTCTGTACATACGTGTTGTAGAAACCCTGAAATAACTGAAAGCTTGAACTTCTCAGACTGTCTACAAATTGCGAGCTTTGAAACTCTTGGAGACACCTCTTCAATGTTCGCGCTACGTCATCATCGGGCGTGTCATCCGATGACTTCAAACTGAATGTGAAGGATCCTCGTAAGCTGACATAATCTTCGTCAAGTCTTGATATATTATAGAGTGCTGATGACAATATAACCAACTTGCAATCAGTCTTAGAATCTAGGCCTTGTTTGAACTTTGTGTTCAATGATGCTACAGCGGAGATATGGTTTAACTGAGAGATTACCACGCCTTGGTCTTGAGAGATGTTGTACAGCAAATTCACTTCCAGCTTGTAGCATTTCAAAACAGAAAAGAATGGTGCTGCAACCATCAAAAACAAACGTAAAATTTATTGACGTTAAAACAAATTCTGACCACTAAAACATATACCATTTTATCGGCTGCATTATGGGTAATATCATGCGATTTTCGATCTTTTTTGTTTATGCAGAACGCAAATAATTCGAATACTTTGAAATTATGTCTATTGAAGGTTATTTCAGCGTAATCTGCAGTTTTATTGAACTAGTCTATCTATTTAGTGACCAGAATTTCTTCAAACTGACTGTAAAAATAAAATCGAGAACAAGTTAATTTCAAAACAGAGTAAACATTACTGCGCCATTGTGCGCCATACAACATTGCCAATTCATTTCTCGTTTTGCATTGTTAATCTTAAGACAATTAATCAAATGTTTTAAATATTTTTAACTGTGGAAAACGTCGTTATTACAACATGTACAAACGTATAGAAAATGCTACCGATTTCTTTTGCTTGTTTGTTTTCTTCATTTTGTCAAAACTGGCTTCACACATTGGAGTCGTTGGCGGACACCGTTTCTGCTTTGGAGATTCCCGCGAAATATGAAAATGCTCGTGATGTGACAAACACCGCGAAGAAGAAATAAGTAAAATAAGAAGGAGGACTGTACATGAGTTACCTCATTATTTTTTGGTCAAATAGTCTCCTTCTCGGTTACTTGCGCCATCTTGAAAAGTAGCCGTGCCTTTACATCGAAGCGAGACGACCGTTGAGCGTGCAATGATAGATACCTGTGAATAATTGTCTGTACGTGTGAAAGAAGGTTTCTATCATTACACGCTCAACGGTCGTCTCGCTTCGATGCAAAGGCACGTCTACCTTTCAAGATGCCACAGGTAACCGTGAAGGTGACTATTGAGCATAATTGGGCATATCCACAACGATTAAGGGGACCATATAGACGGGGCAAACCTTAACTTCTATGCATTTTTCTCTCTAGGGTCTCTGAAAAGATCTAGCACTCTCAGTTAACGTCATATCAATAAAATTTTTTGAGTGCGTTTCTACAAATTGTCGTTTCGCGACCGCCTAATGAAGAACAACACAGAACGACTTGACAAAGACATTACAAGATTACACAANGAGAAGAGAAGAGAAGAGAAGAGAAGAGAAGAGAAGAGAAGAGAAGAGAAGAGAAGAGAAGAGAAGAGAAGAGAAGAGAAGAGAAGAGAAGAGAAGAGAAGAGAAGAGAAGAGAAGAGAAGAGAAGAGAAGAGAAGAGAAGAGAATCATGGGGCCTAGCAACAATACCATCATCAGAAAAAAAGGTATTTTAATTCTATGAATGAACTCACCATTTAATGCACCAAGAACAGCAAGAATCAGCCAATAGGACAGCATGGCTCTGCTGACAAATAAGTATGTCTTTCAAAGAAGAACGCGGCGATCTAAACCACCTTTCCTTGAAACTTCACTGTTTTTTTTATTATAAATTTAATTGTCAAAAATGATTGCCAGTTAACACTTTCGAATAAAAATTGTTGTCCTCGCTATATTGTATTCTTTTAAAAAGTAAAATTATGTTATTCGGGCCTTATCCTTGTGATAATCAGTTGTGTTCTGTACAATCATAAAAATCACGTTTTCATAGCCAACTAACGTACGCCGCACAAGAAAATCATACGATCTCCGTTAAAATATCTCACGTCAGAAGTACAGTGGCGAATGGTAGTCAAGGGACTGGTTATACAACGCGGCCTGTCCTGTTTAATTTTTTCTGTCAACTAAGGAAACGAAAACTAGAAAAGCAGCCCGGACCATCAGACCCTAATCGGGATCGAAAAGATAATTCTTTTTCAAGAAAGATTTAAGATACTCTTTGTATTCTTGAATATCCAAAGGCTTGCAATTTTCTAGATTTTTTTCTACGTAGTCTTGCAGTGATAAATGGATCAAAATGTGCATCGTCTAATAATGTAAGCCATTGTCAGTGACTATTTCTTTTTGTGTATTAGATCATTATTAGCTCGTACGGTAACATCAATTTGCGGCAGCTTCAAAGTTATTCTTCGTTTGTTAGCCAAAAAAATAGCTTAGAGGTCCTAAAAACTGAGCTCAATCTAAACAAGAATACCAGTCGATTCGTATTCCTTTGAGCCTGGCAACCGAATCCATCCGGGTCGACCATACGATGGACTACAGAAATTGGAAGCTCGGTATTTTCTTACAAAATTGTTTTACGATGATAAGTTCACGTGCATGTTATGATAGGTTGATAGAAGAAGCAAGTTATAAGACTGCAGTCGTCATGTTTGCCGTTCACCAGGAAGTTAATCTGCAATTCTAAAATTCTTACCGTTATTTCAATTTTCTTGGGTAAAATTTCGCTTCTTTCCACCGAGCCAGACAGTCAGGAGAGCTGTTCGCTCTTTTCTTCTCTTGTTCAACGCGAGAGTCGGTTGATTGGACTTTTAATAGCCCGTTAAAGCTTGAATTCCTTAGCAATGTTGTTGAGACAGTGTTGACCGCTGCTGATCATTTACAGTCTGACTGTTTTGTTTGATCAAATAAAGTCAGAGGTCGCATTTTCTCGTCACCGCAGGACATCAACTAACAAATGAAGAATCGTTATTAAAAAGAATTGAGACTCCAGACCTTTCTTGGCATTTAAAAACTTTGGAATATTTATTCAAGATATTATCAAATTGAAATAACATTTCACTCATAGTTAGATCACTACATTAAAGACCTTAGCAAAAACGCTATACATTGTGTTTACTTGTAAAAGCAGTATCGAGGTCAGTATCGGTGCTTATA